TCACAATCTTGAATGACAGATAGTGATTCCGTACGATTCTCTCTTAATGAGTGTGTAATGAATTGAAAAAGTTCCTCAAGCGTATTTAAAGGCAGGTCTGCCCTCTTCAGCTATATCATTTTTAATCTTTCATTGCAATATAATAACTCTGCGCTAATTTCGATGAGTTCTTGTATTGCTATCTGAAATTGATGTGATTGGATTGTCAAAAACTAAAATTTTCCCTCGTTCGAGAAACATACGTAGCACTGCCTGGAAAGCAGTTCTTTTAGCATCCAACATTGAGTAATGCTGGAGAAATTGGTTTACACCTGATAAACAGTAATAACGTTAACAGTTATATTTTGTCAACTTTTTGTAGTTTAAATTACACAAGCACGTCCTTCGTTAGTTATTACCAGCAATGTAAATACTGTATACCAATCATCTCATTGAATGTCTAAAAAGTAACAAAGTGGGCAGTAGAGCGTTTTTACCCGATTTCTTTCAGACCTTCGTTTTTCATTAGGCATCCCACCTGCAAATGCTAAGGTAGCCAAATGATCCTAAGAATTAAGACGTTTTATTGATATAAAAACCTTGAGTCAGAATCCAATTACAATTACAATTACAATACGAAATTTGTATCGAGACTAGTTTAAAACTCCCTAAAATCCGAACAAATTATGGAAAATATAATAATAAATGCTCCGGTCCTAAGCTTTGGAACAATATTGATGAATCAACCAAGGTTATTGTAGGTTCTTTTAGCGTGAAATGAAGAATGGGTATTTCAATAGCAATCTGATCAGTGAATTATTTTAATTCTTGCACTTTGTAGTTGCTCAAATTGTAGATTTCCATGCATGCATGTTTGTTTGTTTGTTTGTTCGTGTCTTTGTTTGTTTGTTTGTTTGTTTGTTTGTTTGTTTGTTTGTTTGTTTGTTTGTTTGTTTGTTTGTTTGTTTGTTTGTTTGTTTGTTTGTTTGTTTGTTTGTTTGTTTGTTTGTTTGTTTGTTTGTTGCTATTGTGTCTTTTGAAATTTGATCTATCAACAATTCATGGATTTTGGCGGGCACCCAACTCGATTGGCTGTTAATAGTTACTTTGCGTGTCCGGTCACTTTTTGATTTATGACTATATATGTATAGCATTATTTTTATAACTTCGACATTTTATATAATACGTCAAACTTATTAAATTGATTAATTTATTGATTTGAAACTGTCAAAATGTTATGTTATTTAATGTTATGTTATTGAAACAAGTCATCAAAAAACCTACTAGAAATCCGGCAATTCTTGACCGTATTTTGACGGACATCCATAAATTTTACCAAGCCCCACTTGTATTAGCCACAATTGGTACCTCAGGCCACTGTACAATTATATGGTCATCACAAGAACAAATGAAGCACAAGCAAAAGTCAAAACGGATAAATGTAAGACGCTGAAATCCTCGCCACTACAAGCCTTTGAGCAGAAAATCAGTGAATATAACTGGTCACTCGTGTTGAATGCCTCTTGTATAAACGATAAAGTCAACAAGTTTTTAGAAATAACAACAGAAATGGTCGATGCATTCTTCCCTTTAAAGTCAGTCAAAATCCAAGTTGACGACAAACCTTTTATAAATGGAAGAATTAAACAATTGATACAGAAACGAGATAAGGCATACCAACTTGGAAGAGTCGATCAATCCAAGCTATTGCGGAACTTAATTGTTGCAGAGATTAGAAAGGCCAAGCCCGTATTCTAATGAACAAAATATTGAACCAAAACTGAAAGAAATGGTGGAAAAAGTAAAACGCATTGTTGGAAATAAAAGACAGAACTTTGACTTATCAGACCCTCTATCAGACGCCCCAATGAACGATAAGCACACCGCCGATTATACATAAACAGTTTCTTCACGAGTTTGACCAAAGAATATCCTAAAGTAAAAGATGATATGGTTATCATTTGGAAGTCAAGATCCTTTACCACCAATTACGACTGAAAGTGTTGCAAAGAAGTTGTCCAACATAAACGTCAAGAAAGCACCTGGCCCTTTTGACCCAAATATGAAGGTGATAAAGACATTCGTTGAACACTTCGCCATGCCATTAGCTAATATCTACAACCAGTCGTTTAGATGCAAAACTTTTCCTGAAATATGGAAAATTTCCAATATATGCAGTGTCCCGAAATCAAGTCCATGTTCGTCAGTGGAAGAACTAAGGCCAATTGCATTGACTAGCACTTTTTCAAAACTTCATTAATCATATGCTGTTGAGTGGATCCTAAATGATACTAATGACAAAATTAGTAAATCTCAATTTGGTGGCCTTGCTGGAATGTCTGCTGTCCTTGCATTAATTTTCCAACTACACAAGTGGTATCTAGCGATGGAGAATAATAAGAAAACTGTTCGAATTACCTTCCTCGATTTCCGAAAAGCCTTTGACTTAATTGACCACAACTGACTTTTGCAAACTTTAATGACATTGGTATACGTCCAGGCTTGATTGGATGGTTTGCATCGTATTTACAAGGACGATCACAGATAACTTCACATCATAGTGTAAAATCCGAGCGAATGGAAATTAATGGGGGTGTACCCGAGGGCAGCAAATTAAGTCCAATCGCTTTCATTATAAAAATCAATCAACTCCCATCAGTTACAAATTGGGAATCGGCCGAAACAACCAACCAAAATTATACGGATGAGGGAGAAACAATAATGTTTATGGACGACACGACCTTATCCGAAGTGATAGAAGTATCAGATCACACTTCCGGGACATCGATTGGAAAAACTCAAGAAATTGTCAACAATGTAGTGCTGTTTGCAAAGCACGAAAAATGTGAAGAAATGATTCTCGATTTCAGGAAGAATAAAACAACCATCCCACCAATTAATATTGACGACCAACCTATTGCTCGGGTAAAGTCATATAAATTACTAGGAATGTGGCTGGATGATGATATGAAGTGGGCCACAAATACTGAATATATTATTAAAAAAGCAGCTAAACGGCTCCACTTTTTAAAGATCCTTGAGAATGATGGCGCGTGTAAAGATGATCTAAAGTCCTTTTATTGCGCTGTTATAAGGTCCACTCTCGAGTATGGAGCGCAAGTGTGGCATGGAAACCTCACCCAAGACCAAAGCAACAACATCGAAAGAATTCAAAAACGGGCGCTCAGGATTATCTGCCCTGGAAAGGACTACAATGAAGCCTTAATAGAAAGTAGACTGATACTAAAAGAACGAAGAAAGCATCTGTGTCAATAATTGACCTTATCAGAAATATGGTTCAAACCATCCATAAACTACATGGACTGCTACCTGATAAACATTCCAACATCAGAAAGAGAGAAACAAGAGCGAATAGTAATATAATCTATAATTTTACTTGTAGAACGGAACGTTTTAAAAGTAGTCCTTTGGTATATGCGATCGATAAATACAATGAAAGCATTAACTGAAAGATTTGATATAGGTTTATAATTGTTTTAGCGTACTAGTGTTTTAGATTTTACTATATACATACTATTAATATAATAGTTTTAGTACAATTTGTGTTTTAAATTTTATTATATACCTTCTATAATTATGTATACTATTTACATAATTGTGATGAAAGTACTAACTCATAGTCTTAATTAATATATAAGAGTTTTGTATTTTACTCTTCATAATCCTGTAAACACATAATAATTTAGCTATATACTTCGCTATTGAAATATGATTAATAAACCATTACCATAAATATGTTCACTTAATTAGCCTTTCTCACGCCGCCATTTTTGGCATGCCTTTTCCAAATCTGAGATTGTACGCAGTGAATAAGGGATTTGTATAACTATAATTGTGAGTGTATAATCATTACAAGTTAATTTGCAGTTAAATATTTGAAAAAAACTGTTTCCACATCGCTTAGATTTTTCACGTCGTTTTTAAAAATGTACCCCAAAAATTGCGAATTTGGCCTTCGTGAGAAAGGCTAATTGAAATACTCAAAATGTTATTGGCTGGATTGTATGCCAATATCCGGAAATGACATCACTATTTGTAATCAATTTTACAACTAAATCTTGACTTGCAGTGAAGGAAGCTCTGGTGATAACAGTTTGAGAAGTAGCCATGATGGTGAAACCGTTGAGGAAAATAACGATAACAACGATGTCAACGACCAAGATCCGCCTATAGATCCTGTGATGTTAAAGTATATGGAAATGATTAAACAGCGTCGGGAGACTGAGAATAAGGTATATGCATGCAAGTAAACGTCAAACCAATTTACCGCCAAACCAATATAACTAATTATTTTGACATTTTTAATTGTCTCTTTAACAACAGAATTTTCATGGTCATTATTCACCATGTTGAACGACGATGCATTCAATTTGTAGAACAAATTGTTATCTGCAAGGGTCACTTTATGACTTACTTTGATACTTTCAGACCTTAGGAAAGCATCGATCCTCGCCACCCCTATAATGGATTTTTGAAATGACGGACTTTTCAAACTTGCTAGCGCGCGAAAATCGGCTCGGTGAAGTAGTGAATGTCTTAACCATTCAGCGTCGGATTTCGTATTTCGTTGCAACTCCTCCCACAAAATTAATTGGTTGTTTGAAGTCCGAAAGGTTAATTGTCAAATTATCCAATGCCACATATCACAGCTATTTTACTCATGCATTAACTATATTATATATAGTTATATATAATTTTTAATAATTGCAATTTTTCTTCTAAAATGGAAATTCTTCCATTCACTGCATAAGTGTTTATTTCGTAAAGATAACAATTAAAACGGCTTCTCTCTTATCTTCACAGCATATTAAACATCGAGAAAGCCATGCGGGTTGTATTTTTTATAAAAGTAAAACTTATAATTTCAAACGAAAGTGTCCCAATTATTATGAAAAATGATTGTCTATCTTGAAATGTGACAAAATGTGTAATATTATTTATATCAGTTTTATCATATCTTGTTTTCACTTTCGTTTTTCTTCAATAATTATATAATTGCTACGCAATACTTTCTTCTCAGACGATTGAAGAAAAGTCTGTCAATATTAGCAGTAAAGTTGATTCACACGTAAGTATATTCAGACAATCTTATTATCCATTACTAGAAACACACATGCATGCAGCAATCCCTCGCCTATATTTTCCAAACGTTGATCTACATGAAGTATCAGTAATACTGAACGCAGGCTTGAGTTTACGTCGATGTTGCCATGGCTACACGATAATAAAACATGGTAATTTAGGAAACTTGCAGCATCATTGAAAAGGAAGAGGAAGCAGTGCATGTTATCCAAGAAATTAAAGCAACAAAATTCAACATTCAAAGCAAACTTGCCTTATATGTCACGATTTCCCATAGTAAATCAATTCTTCTCATTTCTTCAAACAAAAATCGTTTCAAAGCTCAAAGTATGTGAAACATGATTTTCCAAATGTTTTTGAAAATTGAAATATTGCTTATCCCACTCCTGGCAAACATCTATATTTTCAAGATCAGTGAGGTCCACTCATGAACCATAGTTGCGCGCCCGCGATTATTTATGAAATTTATACTTCGCTAATGCTTTCCTTTGCCCGGTTGTAAATATTTCCTTTGCCCGGGCGGAATTAGTACCGTCGCCCCGGGCAACGCCCGGAACGGCGTGCCGCATCTTTGGCTCAGGGATAACCTAAATAGAACACTTGTACTTTTTTGCTGAATTGTAAGAAAAAATAAAGAGTAAACAAATATTTAAACTTGTGTTAGCCTTTTAAACTTGGATTGTTTTTTATGCGTGTTTCATGTGCCATACGTTAAATAAAATCATTGATGAAAAGTGTTTGTAGATGGAAATTTCGAGCAAATATCATATACATTTTCACACCTGACCAGCAGCGAAAAATGCGACCATAAGCCCTCCAGCCCTGTGATTCCGGTTCAGCACTTTTACCGCTGAGTTACAGAGTTCAGTTGCCAAGCAAGTTCTTAATTAAGTGATGCTATGCAGTGTAGAGTACATGGAGAAATATTCAAGATTTTCGGCATCTCGCTCCGTAGAACTGAATAATGAAGGATTTTCTAGTTGGAAATTTTGAGCAAAAATTGATATACATTTTTTACTTTGTATGTATGTAGGATGTCAGTGATCAGGAAAGTCGTGTTTCGAATGGCAAAAATGAAGATTTGAGGTAAGGAGTAACTTCCAGATTACTAAATTAATCTTAAGTACACTTCTATAATCGCGATCCTAATTCTGTAATTCTAACTCTAATCTTAATAACCATTACCGTAATCTCTTTCCCAAACCGAACCCATGCCACTTAACGCTTAACCTAAAGCTTCCCTTTAAAGATCGGCCCGTTCAAATGCACCCGACAATGTTGGCCCAATATCACGCAACACCGTGGAAGCATTCGGTTTATCTGTTTATTTTTCAAATCTTTTTAAGAAATTGATGGGATTTATCCAAATTGAAAATCTTTACTTTAAGCTCAACATTTGCCATGGAATTAGTAATAAACATTATTTTTGGAATTGTTGGGTTGAGCTAAGAATGTGGTGATGGTGTCCTCGTATTGTTACATGTATTGCTATAGCCAACCGCCTACGTGGTTTTCTTCGTAGAAATTGCACCCAAATTACTCTTTTGTCTTGCACTTGTCCGGTCTCACCTGTCTTGTATGCCAGTGAGGTCTGCAACTCGAATTTCTTCACGTGATCTTATGATCCTGGAGAGTGTTCAAAGACGAGCGACCAAGTTCATACTCCAAGGCTATGAGTTGTCTTATCCTGAACGCCTGAAAAAGCTTAATTTATTGCCCGTGTCGTACTGCATGGCTAGAAATAAAGAATCGCATCTTTTTCTTGGAATGAAAGGATGGTCTCTACGATCTGGATATTTCTTCTTATGTTAACTTTTCCTCCCACCGCTCCTCACGCACCCGTTCAAGCAATGCCAATTTGCTTTAAATAAATTCTTGTAGGACTTCTTTTTTTAGAAACTCTTTTTTTATCGTATTGTCTTTCTTTGGAACAATCTATCACCGATAATTCGTCACAGTTCATCTGTTTCCTCCTTTAAACGCCAACTCCACATTCATTACTCTTCTAAATTAGATTCTACGTTTGATGTTAACACAATGCGCTGTTGGTTGGTTTTCACATGGGACCCATGTCCTGCTGACCACATCCTCCACCATACTTTTATTATGTATAAACATTTTGTATTCTTATATGGTTGTAAAGAAAATAAAAAATGTTGGGGCCGCTTGAACGGGCATTGGGATACCAATGTTATTTTAAAGACAACAGCGTACTTTGAATGGTTCGTATTTTGTCTGCATGGTGTTAACATATTTCCTCTCACATTTTTTGCCATTTCTGCATAGTATTGTTAACTGTCTTGTTCTCCTTGCTATACTGAGAATCGTTTGAATGAAAACTTATTTTTTTAGTATGGGAAAGTTGTCAGATGATGATTTTAACTGGGAGTGAATGAACGTCATCAACATTTCTCAACATAAAATATGTATGTGTATCATTTTCTGTATCTTTTGTAAATAAAACCAGAATTTTTCCCTCTAATCCCACGTGTCGTAGTTTTTTGTGGATCCGCTGTAATTTCTTCAAGGCTGTTGCAGTCTTCCTACCAAGTTTTCTTAGTATATTTTGTTATTGTTAATGTAATTTCTCTTGTTTTGTAATTAATGAGCATCTTTGGCGAAACTATTAAAATTATTCTTTTGACATTGTTTTTATATATATATATCGTTCATTTTATACCATTTTTAACTTTTAATTAAAGTGCGTATATAAAAAGAGTGCATAAGACGAATTAAAATGTCTTACTCGAATCGAGCAATATATTAAAATTAAAAAAAAAATAAAGTTGATGATTTGTCAAAAACCAAACAAGTCGTTACCTCGATAATACAGCATAACCATTCAACTTGGATGCATGGTTATGCCTTTGAAAATTATCAACATAACTATATTCAATTGAAAAGAGTAAGCACGCGGTCCCCAAAAGCACGGCCTGGGGCGGCAGATGCCACTTGTGCCATATGGTTAATCCGGCACTGTATTTGTATAGGTTATAAATCGAATACTGGATATAGGTCATATATACCCAAGGGGAAGTAGGCCCCGAGGGTACTTAAGCTCGAGATTTATAACCAATTCATATATTTACTAGTTGAGGATGTATTCGAACAAAGTTTCATCAATTTCAAAGATTTTCGAACAAGATTTTTCGAGTTTTGTCGAAAGGTTTAAACTAATAATTATTTATTCACGGGTTGTAACCGGTACACATCCAGGGGTACATCGGAGAAAACCGACTCATCTAGTAAATAATATTAATGTCTGCTGCCAAGGGAAATAGTTTTGTTTTCCCAAGAGTCCAGGGGAAACAAAACTAACGATTTTGCGAGGGAAGGGAACAAGTGTTTTGTTATCTAACGTCGAAAGAAAACAACATTCATACATGCAACGATTGTATTTCATGTCTTTAGTGTAAACGAGTTTAAAATTAAGAGAACGTACTTGAACGATTTCAGCAACATATGTTGTTGCTTGTTAATGAATATTTTTCTTCTCTTTTACGTTCTTTATGTTAACACAAACTCGTAAAATTTAATAGTAGTTTATAAACTTGCCGGTATTTAGTCCGGGTGGGCAACAAAACCGGCGGGATTAAGTGCATGTATCTAAAGCCATGTTACCTAATTCTTTTGTAATTGTTTTCATTTTGCGGTAGCAACTACAGGTCTGGTTAAGTTTGTTTAGTTTCATGTTAATTATTTATCTGATTCATTGCGCAGTCTGAATTTGATGGTGCTAGCTGTTTGTTGTTGATCTGAAAGAAATTTCTTGTAAGTATGAAAATCCTTTCTTGTATAAAAATCTTTGGGCTTTAGCTCAAATGTGAACGGCCGTGTGAACTTCATGTCTGTAGTAATGTAAAATGTAAATAAATAAATGTTTATATATATATTCATCAACACTTTGACGTTTCGACGTTTCGAGTCTCTTTGTCATGGCTGTAAGTCAAAACAGCTACCCAGACTTTTGTGAGATACTAATGTTCTAAAGGAAAGCCCTTCCCTCAAGACATCAAACTGTTTTTAATTTTTTTGAGGCTGACACGCATATCAACACCCACGACATCTACAGCCATTACATACAGACCTTGAACCTAAACCTTGGATTTATACAAGCATTTAGTCTACGACCATTTTTTTCGGAAGAAGATAGGATAGCACTTAATAGGAGAGCACTTCCCAATTCCCCACCCCGGAACAATTGATGATTTGGCCTCTAAGATATATGTTTGATTTGAATGATTTAAAGAATACCTCCTACGCAAGTCGTAATGAATTCCCTAATTTCGCAGGCAGAGTATGCCCTTTGCAGGTTGGAAATTGAAATTTGAGTTTTGAGACTTAACCAGGAACAGCTACGAAAAATGCAACTTTAGGTCCGTGGCAGGAATCGAACCTGCATCCTGCAATTCCAGTGCAGCGCTCTAACCAACTGAGCTACAGAGGCCAGTTGTCGAGCTCTAAACACAAGTTCATATATACATACTAGGGTACTGCCATGTTAGGTTATGGGTATATAAATATCAGGATTTTGTTGGCATCTCACTCGATAATAGTTGAAGGATAATAGAAGGGTTGTAGATAATTTCCACCTACAATACCCTAACTATTATTCAATCAAGTGAGGTGCCAACAAAATCTTGATACTAAAAATTAATATAGGCTACAAATTAAGATGATTATATAACTGTGCGGAAATAGCGTGCTTTCGCCATCTTGGAAAGATTAGTTGGCAGGCCTTTCGTTGCCTCTCTCTCAATTTTTAGAAGGGCCAGCAGACGAGGTGTTTCGTACTTTAATCTTTACGGAAAGGATCGTTTTAACAGAGATCCCCATAATTTAAACAGTGATATAACGTTAAACGAAATCATATTTGATTTAACTGATATAAAGAATGCTTTAAAGTGCCTATGTAGCCGTGTGAGAAAACAATTAAGAAACAGCTTTAAAGACTGGGACTTAGTCAGCAGTTATGTTATAGAAACGGGCTCAGCAAGATAGCCTAGCGCTTAGTCAGCGGTTATGTTGTAGAAACGGGTTCAGCAATATAGTCTAGCGCTTTTTAAAACGAAAAAATAACGAACACATTTTCTGTAAAAGTTTTATTAAAAATACTTCTTTAAAAGTGAATAAAATGTAAAACAAAAAGAACTCTGAGTAACACCTACGCAATGAAACTTTGCCTCATTTTTTATTGCTGGAGTGATGAAGAATTACGTTTACAGTTTTTCATATTTCATTCTCAAGTTATCGCACTTTCTATAGTTTGAGTTGTGACGTCAGAAGTATGAGTTGAGATAATGGCAATAACAAGAAAGTATGATATCTTGGTGAGTATTTAATAAAATTCAATGAAACTTGGTACACTTAGTGGGTGCACTCATATGAATATTTTTTGACAGGTCATGTTCTTGTCATGGCCACACACTAGTTCCCAGTCTCTTCTCTTCCTTTTCACAACTTTCCTCCTGTAGACCTCTTGCACAGGATGTTTACATATTCTAACTGTTTAAACTGATCACAATTCCTACACTTATAGTAATAAGCGAAAATTGCAGAAATTGCTATTTATTTCGTTGGAAATGGATCATATAGAAATTGGAAGAGAAGGGACTGGGGACGAGTGTGTTGCCACAACAACCATACAAACAAGCCAAATTGTTGACTTTGTTGCACCGACTAAGTGTACCAAGTTTCATTGAATTTTATTAAATACTCACCAAGATATCATATTTTCTTGTTATTGCCATTATCTCAACTCATACTCGTGATGTCACAACTCAAAATATAGAAAGTGCGATAACTTGAGAATAAGATGAGATATGACGAAACTGTAAACGTCATTCTCCATCACTCCAGCAGTACTTTTTAGAAAAACAATAAAAAATGAGGTAAAAATGTCGTTGCATAGGCACTTTAAAATGCTTACTCAGCATCTTGAAGAAAACTTTGGTCATCGATTTTTTTATTATTATCGATTATTTAGTGAATCGAGATAATAGACCCATTGCACATGACGTCACAGCGCTGGTGATGATGCATCTGGAGGACAAATCAGCAATCTACGCATAATATAACTTTTGTAAACAAAGCAAATTTTGTAAAACTTTATAATAATTTTGTATTAAAATGGTTAATTTTTGCACTGTATGTGGTTGTTGTACCCGAACAGATATTGTTAGGGAGCATCTCGAGGACACTCTAAGGATTTGTGACGTCAGTGCAATGGGTCTATTGAGGTTTTTATCTCCTTATTATACTGTAGGTCTATTTGATAGTGTGGTAAAATATGAAAATTTCTAAATTGTTTGCTTTTCCTAATTATAGATGACAGCATTGCCAAAATAACGTCGTTTTATCCTTGTTGAGCATAATTTTACCTGAGATCATTTTGATTGTTAGCATGATCTTGTATGACTTTATAAAATAAACTAGAAATACATGCATGCAACAACCCCTCATTTTCCAAACATTTTTCAACATGAAGTACTTTTATGACGCCAACACAGAACGCAGGCTCGCATTGCTCGCCTCATGTTAGTCATGGCAACACGATAATTGTTTTCTTAGTTTTTTTGTTTAAAACGGCAAAAATAGATTGATATTTTACACTTATAACCACAGAACTATCGATTTCTAACATATGTAAAGTTGGTATGTTATTTTGCTTTGTATGGGCTTTATTATAATGCAAAATTCAACACGAAAGGCTTCGTAAAACGTTTCTAAATGTTCGTTGAAATCAACTGCTTTTTGCCGATAAACTCTTCAACTTTTATTATATTACTCGTACTTTGTAATGCAATAAATTTAATTCCTACAGGTAGCTCTTTAAAATAATTTTCTTCATTTATGAAAAATTAAAACAAATGAACTTTCACATAGAATGAAAAGGAAAGCTGTACATGTTCAAGGCCTTCACTGCTTCAGGCGAAAAGTCCGAAAACTAGACAACAAAGTAATACATAAACCGTAAAAACAAACATACCCTGTACTTTAGAATTTCTCACACTTTCTTTAGAATTTGAAAAAGGTGATTTACAACTTATTGTGTAAAAAGATGTCCAAGCTTTCTGTCATGCATGTTTTTTTAATCTTTGCTTCCTTCACTTCAGCTATATTTTTGAGATCAGTGTGATGACCACCCATGTATAGCCATGCGCCCACGATCATTGATGAACTGTAGACTTCGCTAATGCTTTCCCTGGGTGTTAATAGCCGAGCGGAATTAGTACCCTCGCCACGGGCTTTGCCCTACGCGCCCCGCGCGTGGCTCGGGGATAACAAATTTCTTAGGATGTGAAATGGAAGTTAAAGGTCGCCTTCTTCATTCTACTTAAAGATGTAACAATGGTACACAAAATAAACAGATGTTGCGTTATTAAGACAAATTAAAATGAATAATTTATGCTTTGTGATTGGCTTTCGTGAACAAAAATATAGCCCTTTTTTAACTACTTTAGAAAATTTATTCTAACAGTTTTATTGTTATAATCAACTAACAACAGGGCCTTTTCCTACATATACCTTCATCATGATACTCAGTTCATGGCGTATCAGTAAAAATTAGACCTTAGTGTTCGAGCACCTGGGCTTTATTAGGCTATACGTATAACCACAACATATTATAACCTAAGCCTAACAAACCTAAGTTATGATTTTAACAATAAGAATAGTAAAGGGAATTTTCGTGAGCCCAATATTTGTTCTCCTGAAATGTGAAATGACGGATTTTTACATCCGTGAAACGTGTTTGTTGACATGCCTGGCCACGGGCCGTGAATGCCCGTAATTTTTGTCCGACTAACAATTGTTTGAAAAACGTCTTGCAATGCTGAGTTTTAAGTAATTAAACTAGTTCCAAAAACGTAAAACTAGGCTAACGAATTAAGAAAGGCATTAAAAATGCTCAATAATATGTAAAATGAATTTACCCATGCAGTTAAAACGAGTTCTTTAATTTTCTTGAAACGGTTGATTTTTTACATGTGAAAAGTGAGATCACTGTTTTTCTTCACGTGAAATGTGATCAGAACCTACCCTTTACCACTGTCAGGCTGTCAGCAATATTAAAATAACGTGAAAAAAGCAATATTGACAAACAAAATATAATTTATCTTGATATAATTTAACAATGATTTTCAATAGAAAAGAAGGATATAGCTTTTAACCTAAATGAACGTGATATTTCTATATGTTTAGCTATAGAAGCAGACAGTATTTGACTAGAATTCACAAATACTAAAAATGGAGCAAGAATGCGAAAACAAGCAACAACTAGAAGAGTACCATGACAAGTATCAGATTCAACGGGAGACTGAAAGCAATGAGAAAGCATTGGAAAATGCAAAAGTACGAGCGGATCAGATTCAGGAAACAACAGAATACCTTAAGTTAGGAGATGCTTGCAGATTGATGAATCAGTTTCAAATGGCAATTAAATACTACGAAGAAGCTTTAGAAATTGTAAAAGAACGAAAAGATGAAGCTCTGGAGACAACGGCATACCTTGCGTTAGGACTTGTGTATAGATTGAACAATCAGTTTCAAACAGCAATCGAATACTATGAGAAGGCTTTGGAAATTGCAAAAGAACGATACGATCAAGCTCAGGAAACAACGACATACCTAAGGTTAGGAGACGTTTATAGATTGAACAATCAGTTTCAAATGGCAATTGAATACTGTCAGCAAGCCTTGGAAATTGCGAAAGAACGAAAAGATCAAGCTCAAGATACAACGGCATACATTGGGTTAGGGCATGCTTATAGACGAAGCAATCAGTTTCAAACAGCAATTGAATACTATGAACAGGCCTTGGAAATTGCAAAAGAACGAAAAAATCAGGATCAGAAAACAATGGCATACCTTGGGTTAGGACTTGCTTGTAGAATGAACAATCAGTTTCAAATGGCAAATGAATATTATGAGACAGCCTTGGAAATTGCAAAAGAAGGAAAAGATGAAGCTCTGGAGACAACGGCATACCTTGGGTTAGGACTTGTGTATAGATTGAACAATCAGTTTCAAACAGCAATCGAATACTATAAGAAGGCTTTGGAAATTGCAAAAGAACGATACGATCAAGCTCAGGAAACAACGGCATACCTAAGGTTAGGAGACGCTTGTAGATTGAACAATCAGTTTCAAATGGCAATTGAATACTGTCAACAAGCCTTGGAAATTGCGAAAGAACGAAAAGATCAAGCTCAAGAGACAACGGCATACATTGGGTTAGGACATGCTTATAGACGAAGCAATCAGTTTCAAACCGCAATTGAATACTATGAGCACGCCTTGGAAATTGCAAAAGAACGAAAAGATCAAGATCAGAAGACAACGGCATACCTTAGGTTAGGATATGCTTATAGAATGATCAATCAGTCTCAAACAGCAATTGAATACTATGTGCAAGCCTTAGAAATTGCAAAAGAACGAAAAGATCAAGATCAGGAGACAACGGCATATCTCAGGTTAGGAAATGTCTATATTCATAGACAGATCAATCAGTTTCAAACGGCAATTGAATACTATGAGCAAGCCTTGGAAATTGCAAAAGAACGAAAAGATCAAGCTCAAGAAATAACGGCATACCTTGGGTTAGGACGAGCTTATAGACGGAGCAATCAATTTCAAACGGCAATTGAATACTATGAGCAAGCCTTGAAAACTGCAAAAGAACGAAAAGATCAAGCTTATGAGACAAAGGCATGCCTTAGGTTAGGACGTGCTTATAAATTGAATAATCAGTTTCAAACAGCCTTGGAACACTATGCAAAGGCCATGAAAATTGCGGAGGAACTGGAAGATAAACATTACGAAAGTATTGCAAGAAATGCAAGTGAAAAGATTTTAAGAATTACGGGTAAGTTTAGGCAAATGGATGTCAACTGAGTATCAGGTTGTTAAAGTTATTGTTATTTTAAAAATAAAACCTTGAATCCGACACTTGATGTTGCAGTTTTATGCACAATAAAAATGTGCTCGGTTGAAGAGAAACGCTAAGCTCAATGACTGGGTTTATAATCCCAAAGTAAAACCCAAGTTCATCAAACTGTCAATGCGGCAGCTACCTGCGACCATCTTGAGTAACAAAGTTTCATGTTGACCTAAAGGCAATTATCCAATCTGGTGTAGGAAAATAGTCACGTGCACGCATGCATCTCTTTACCACCAAAAGTACACTTAGTCATGGAGACACACAACACATTCAATATGTTATGCAAATTAGATATCAAAAGCACAAGGACCAAAATGAACATCCGACAGTGCCAGAAAATCCCTTTATTTTTTATCTCGAAATAGAACTTTGCAAGCCTTACGATGCCTGGAGATGGCATAGTTCGAGTAATTCCACTTTCTACACACCTTTTTGAATATCTATCTACTATATAAAACACGAGCAGGACTACTTTATCAGATATAAAACACGACAGCGCAGCTCGAGTGTTTTGTATCTAATAAAGCACACACTGCGAGTGTTTTAAATGGCTTAATAAAACGACCTATCTGATGAGTTCATTGGTATGTCGAAGTAATTTAAAAAATTCTCGTTGTCTAAGCCGAGAAAATCCACCAACACCGTAGTGATTTCCGTTTTCTTTTCCTCATGAATTATTAATGAGTTTTTCAAATAGTAAACAAATCTTAACGTTAAACGGCTACGTCTTCTTCAGACAACTTAAAGTTATCGAGCCCTCTCCGTGCTTCGACATTCAAAATCGCTGGTAGATTAAATATGACTGTATTTTCAATCGATTTAGGTTCAGTCGATGAAGATAAGTCTAATACTAATAGCATCCAAAACTCTACATCATCAAACAACGCTCGACTTCAGGATCAAACAGTTGATAATATTCAAGAAACAGAAGCAGAAGAACTTCATGACAAGGGTTGTAAGTTAGATGCAACTGTCAAATCGTGTCTCGAAGTTCAAGAAAATTCTTATGATCTTGGTGAGAGAAAAGAAGAAGCCAAAAACGCCTATCTAATGCTCGGAGACAATTATCAAGAATTAAAGCAACACGAAGAAGCCATTGAATCTTACCAAAAGACTTTAGATATCAGTAAAGAATTGAGGGATAAAGAAATGCAAATAGTCGCAATTCAGAGATTAGGAACATTATACTTAACTTTGGCATCAGTTTGTTCTAAAGAATGCGATTACGGACAGGCAGTACACTGGTACAAAAAGGTGCTGGATATTTCCGGAACAGAGCGCGATGAGGTTCACCTCCTGCACGAGAAGGCTCTAATTGGTTTGGGAGTAGCCTGGTTAAATTTAGAAGATACTGAGAAAGCAATTGAATACATTAGCGAAGCTAAAAGGTTTGCTGTGAAGAAAGCTGATACAGGTAATCATTTTAATTATAATTGTTTTGGGGAAAACACAAACTTTACTATTTGGGAGAGTTTTCGATATTTTAAATAATATATGGTCACAATTTGAATATTTTTTACCCTTTTTCTTCAAGATATTGTCTAGCTTTATGCCTTTTCTATCCATATAGATTCTGAGAATTCCGAAACTACGCATGACAATATAAACTCTGCAGAGCAAAAGCCGCCACCCTCGCCAGTACCAGGTAAATCGGTTATACTCCAGATAAGTCATTTTCAGATATTAAATATTGTGTATTTAATATTTTTATTCAAGAAAACATTAGTTATCTGCTTTTCCAAATTGATTGTGTTTTCCTCTAGTTACTCAACCTCGTTCCCAGGCTCTTCCCTCTTTACCCAGAATCTGGGAGCCACGTGACCAGCTATTGCCAAGGTCTTTCCTCCTAAAGAGGGAAGAGCCTGGGAACGAGGTTGCTACTTACTCATGTAAGAGGACGGGCGTTTTCGTAGCCTTAAGTCCTAACATGCTAACATGCATGGGCTATACGACGAAGCCACGTCGCGACTTCAGATCACCCCTGATGAAAACACTATACTGGAGTGTCGAAACGTTGGGTCGTGAATGCAATTCGACTGGGCTTTGCATTCATTGATTTATTAAAACCAGAGTAGCGTGCGGAAACATGATTGATAGCAGTTCTACGTTACACAATGTTCGATTTTTTTTATGTAATTCGAATATTTCTAAATTAATAGATTTAGGTGGCAAGGAAGAGAACGTTCTCCTTCTTCAAGAGATAAAGCCAGTTACAGGTAAGAAGCTTTACACATTAAAATAAAACAGCAAGCCGTCATTAATCAGTAAATGACAATTAAATTGATCGTTTAAACCTTATCAATATATTTGATGAATAACTAAAATCTACTTTTCATTATAGACATTATAAATTGACCTTTTTCTCAAATTAAATTTCAATAAAATTGAATACGTTGTTCCCTTATATAGAAGCAATGTGACCATAAGTGGCAGTCAAGTCCCTTCTGTTCACTGGCCTGTTTTGTTTAAAATGTTTTGTTTCAAACAATAGATAATTCAATTAAAATATGTAGCTATTATGCATTCAGCATACATCAGTACATCAGTACATCACGAAAGATGAAATTGAGCTATTAAAGAAAATTTACCTCCAAAACAATAAATTCCAAAGGGCGGATTTTAAGATGCCGCTTCAGCCAGTTTTAGCACAAAATTTGTCCAAATTTCGAGCACTCTCGGCAGTTGAGTGAAGTAAATGTCGATACTCTTTAAGAGCAAGACCAAATGGTTTACTTTAGTACACTAGTCCAAGGTGTTACTCTGTTTATAAGATACAAAATATATAAAGTTTATCGTACATGTGCTTCAATATATATATAATAAACATAACTCTAAAATTGTCAAAAATACTTTATTTTTCAGAGAGGTGGGCTCAAGTAGATGCATTGATTGAAGAAATGTGCAACCCAAGTACAACAGAAAGACTAACTAGTGAGAAATTGGTTACTATGGAAAAATACATCAAAGAAATTGCTCCTTCGTACGTGTACACTCGCCAAATATCAGTTGAGGAACCTTTCACGAAGAACGTGCGTAAAGCCATGTCAGACAATGTTAAAAACTCAGCATATACAAGGCTGTTCGGCAAAAACGATCATAAACTTGGTAGAAAGGATGGAAACTTGGTCAATGGGGATCAAGAAATCTTCAACTTTGCAAGGGATGAAGTATTTAAAAATGCTTCGACCAAAAGGCCGGCGAGACTGAATGAAACTTTGACATCTTCTATGAGATCCATTGGCCAAATTAAATGCGGCAATGTTCGAGGAACTTGCTTCCTTGTCACAGACCAGCTGGTGCTGACGAATTATCATGTTTATAGGATGATAGAAACAGAAAGAAATGAGTCAGAAAATTCCAGCTTACCCATCACTGTTTTGTTTGATTATTTCCACGCTGAACACATGGAAAATGTTGTTGTAGAAGCTGAGGTTGATGAAGAACAGGATCCTAAGCTTTCGAATCCGTACGTTGATTACAAATTTTTTCGTTTGAAGCAAAACGAAGGTCTTGCAGATCGTGTTCCGCTTGGTCCAATGGTACGTAATTGGCAATTATCAGATGGTCGAGTTGTTATCCTTGGTCATCCAGAAGGAAAAGAACTGCAGGACGAAGTCTGTATTGTTGTCGGTTATCGGGAGATGCACGAGACAATAAGGAAAAGACATGAGCAGTGTAATGGCGTGCATATGACCAATGCACAGTTACTGCACAAAACGGAAGAATTCCAGGGTCGTCTGTCATATGACACAACTTTTTTCTCGGGTGCTAGTGGTTCTCCTGTTTTTGAAATGAATGGAAACATCGTCGCCATGCACACACAAGGATACCAACTGGAAATATTGGAAGACGATACACCGAATCAATCGAAGAATGTTTGGAATCATGAGCTGGAAAATGGTCCGAATGCGCAGCAAGAAAGTGTTTCTAATCAGGAGCAAGAAAATGTTCCGAATCAAGAGCAAGAAAACGTTCCGAATCAGAAGCAAGAAAATGTTCTGAATCAGGAGCAAGGAAATGTTCCAAATCAGGAGCAATGCGGTATACCGGATCAAAAGCAAGAAAATATACCAAATCAGGAGCAACAAAATGTTTGCAATCAGGAACAAGAAAACGTTCTAAATCAGGAACTGGAAGATGTTCCAAATCAGGATCATAAAAATGTACCGAATCAAGAGCAAGAAAGTGGTCCGAATCAGAAGCAAGAAAATATTTCCAAGAAAAGAAAATATTCGTTGATGGAATTTGGCGTCCAGTTTCTTTCAATATGTAGAGACTTGAGACGATGGCATGGCGAAAATATTGTCAAAAAAATTTTTCCAAATTATAAATTGAATCCGGGTGAAGAACCAATGGATACAACCTAGTTTTTGACATATGATGTACTAAAGAAGACCAAACTTTATTCAACTATTCACATTTGCACCGAATGTCTTATTCATAAGCACAAGAGGTCGTTTTATTGTCCTTAACATTCGAAGAACCGACCAATTGTTCGTATTTGCATGCATGATTGGAAAGGTATAGCAGGACGTTTGTTTAGAGGGGTTCAGAATTTTGACTTGCACCACCGCGACCGCTACCATTAACCAGTCAGATATGTTTAATCTACTCGATTAACTGATCAAATGCGTATTAATTATAAACTAGTGAGTGGCAGCAATAGTGGTACTGGAAGTCACATCTGAACATATCTACATAGGTAATGTCCCTGAAAAGTTTTGAAATTTTGAAACTAATTGGCCGCCAAATCTCAGGGTTTGCCAGGCTGTGCGGCCCTTTAGACGGTTATTTTTCACTTACCAATAAAGGATTAATGTAATCCCACAATAAGTCGAAAAAACGTGGAGTTTCTTGTAATTTGTCTCAAATAGCGATAGTTTGTAAATAACTTGTCTGGTGCAAATAATGTCTATTCTTATCAAAGCCATGTAAATTAGCACGGAATCTGCGTCCGATCAACACGTGTTAGTTAAAACAAACATCCATTTCCTTTTGATTTTTCGTCGCTTTTTAAGGGGTCCACCATTGGAAAGGTGCTGGAATTACGTACTAAGCATACTTCAAGTATACTTACTGTAGCATGCCTGAAACTTTTACTATCGATTCATTGAAGGTTCTATGGAAGAAAGCATTCTTATCAAGTATTCGTAACAAATTCAGAAGTGAGATTGATAATCTTAAGAATGTAATGATAAAGATATAATGCAATAAAATAGAAAATCTCAAGCATTCGCGAGGGGTGAGGTAATGTCAGTTTTATCGCTTGAGGGACAATATCATAAATGCTACGAGTGAGCGCAGCGAACGAGGGACGTTTATGATATCGTCCTGAAAGCGATAAAACTGATATCACCTCCATTATGATAACCTTTTTATCACATACTTGTGCCATCTATCAGGGTCAGAATCAATTTTTAAAATAATCATTGCCCCCATGCAACAATTATTAAAAAATAGACTTAACAAATAGAACTTCACAAAAACAAACAAAGAATAACTTATCTTTGAATAGTGGCATGGTCGCTTTCCGTTTTTCGCTTTGTATTATCATTTTATTCTTCGATATTAAAGCTGTTAGCATCGACTAAACACGAACCTTGAGTCTGCCATCTTCGTTTTGACAGCGAGAAATATAGCGGGACAAAAAACGGTATCAGTGACAAATCAAAGGCCGTTGAGGCCGACTCACGGATAAGATCAAATGAAAGTAACAGAAAGAATTAGAGCAGTTTGCAGTTATTTTTGCAAACTGGGCACCGTGCGAATTTTGCCATTTCACCCAGTTGTCGTGCTTAATTTGCCAAATCAAAAGAACACACGCGTGCTCCAGTCCGATTTCGGGTTCTGAAAGACCCGATTTGCAGGCAAACAATGCGCGCAAAGCAGGCTGGTCATTTCCCATTGTTTAACTGCCCCACGCTCACCCCACACTCAAGTAACCACAAAAACTCACAGATGTTACTTCGCAACATCCGTGAGTTAAAAACAATATATTGAATGTTGCGAACAAGCCATGTAAATATGACTATAATGCTATTTTTGCGAGATGAAACATAAAGTATTGAAGGATGGCACCTACTAAAAATTCAATCTTTTCTAAAAGTGGTAGTAGATAAAATTATTGTAAATGTCTTGTTTTGCATATAAGGAAAACAACTCATTATGTTATTCAAATATATATGTTAACCTTGTTAAAATCTTTACTATGTATTCTCCACTTTCAGCAACAGTGCTGCACAAAGGTGTTGTTTATTCCACTGTAATGAACCCACATTGTTCTTTATTAACGCCTTCGTTATCCTGACTGAATCCTTCATTTTTCATAGACATTGGAGATCCCATTTCATCCTTACATAACATAATATATACACTATTGGCCATGAGTGCACGCTCATTATCCTGCAGATATCCTTCAGCGACAACAGAATCACCACCATTATTCACCCCAGATGTCGACATTTCACCATTGTTATGAACAGCGTTCTCGTTTCCTATCACTGTATTCCCTGGTCAATATAAACAAAGACAATGGCGCAGTTGAGATTAGTTTGCCCAAGTATTATTCTTTTAAATTTGTGTATATAGCTATATAAAGCAAATTTTACCATAGTCGTCTCTCTGTTTTTATGAGAAATGTTTCTGCCTGTGGAATAGCAGCCCACTTTAACAACAACAGTAGTAATATTGGTACCGTTCGGGTCTGATATTTGAGGGGGCGCCACAGGGTGCCGCATCGTCGTTAGCATAAAACAGGGTGCCGCATCATCATTAGCATAAATGAGGGTGAGGCAGGTTGGGAATTCAAACGAATACGAATTTACATAACAAGCAAGATCCTGATGGGTATTATTACGAGTGGTTGGCGTAGCAACGCCGGCATGTTCAGGCGAACAGTCGATATTTTTGCTGAGCTCAACAATTTTTCGCGTCACCTATGCCATCTAATGACAATAGCTAAGCGTCGGCATAAATTTCGCGAGCGTTTTATTTAAGTCTAAGCAAATTTATTTTCAACACGCAAACGAAATTCGTTTTAAGAAAAAAAAAATAATCGAGACATATATACGAAAAATCTTAAACAGGACTTAGCAGTTGCTAAGCCATTCTCGTCCCCAGAGCCACTTTCACTCGGTCACTCGTTAAAAATTAGGCTCTGGGTTAGACGACCAAAGGGGGAGATCTGATTGGTTTCTCGGAGAACTGCTTGATTTTAGCCTGTGTACAGACGTTAGTCTCGACGAAGCGCGCAATCGAGAGAACGTCTGTGAATTGGATGAAGATTCCTTGTTCTGGTCACGTGGATTTTCCCAAGATTTGTGGAAAGGCCTCTGATTCGACAGTGCTTTATTTAATTGAGAATTAGCGTGCGTTTAAAATTACACATAAGAATCAAGATTTCCTTCGGGACATACAAAGGTTTGAATCTGTTGCGTTTAATTTTGTGCTGTATCAAAGTTAAGAAAATCAAGATAAAATTCTAGTGTTTGGACAAACTATTGGACTGAAATTGACAATTTATAATTGACAATTAAATTGACAATATGTTTATATCTCCTTACCCCCCGAGACAAAGCATTTTCTTTAATGTGTTTAACTTTGTCTTACTTGGCCAGTTAACTTTTAATTAATTTAAAATGCACCTTTAGAATAACCAGTTGTGTTTATATCTAATACTTTGTCTTTGTAAACAACTATACGCCATATGTATGCCAAGAACTGAGCTTGTATACACCGGACTTGCCGGCTATGATCATCGTTTAGAATTGTTCGCATTCAAAACAAATCTCTTCATCGAGAAATATATGCATATTTCAAGTCTTTCAAACCTTTGTATGCCCCGAAGGAAATCTTGATTCATGAGGAAATCTCTGAATTTAAAATTATTGCGTTGCTATTTTAAACGCATGCTAATTATATATTACTCAAATAAAGCACTGTCCAATCAGAGGCCTTTCCACAAATCTGGGGAAAATCCGCGTGACCAGAACAAGGAATCTTCATCCAACTCACAGACGTTCTCTCGCGCGCTTCGTCGGGAGTAACGTCTGTACACAGGCTACTTGATTTCGCAGAAGTTGAGCAATTTTCGATAGGCAAAATGTTTCGGACGTTATGGGTTTTGTGAGATGTAACGAAATTTTGTCGTGTTGACATCGAATTGTGTGCTGCAAAAGTCATTAACAGTCGTTAAAGGATTATAGCGGATAGATTAATTACGCTGGCGTAGACCATAAAATCGGGCGGCATCGTGACTTTGCAACCATAATTTTCCACAAGATTTAGATTTCAAACACATTCATTTCTTCAAAACATTAACAAAGTTATGCTTGTAATATATATCGTCACTTGTTTGAGACGTTTCACTATCTAAGATACTGGTTGATATCCCATGTTATAATATAGCATTTGTAAATTCTGAACGCTGATTGGCTAAGAGCCGTGTTGATATAACTCAATGTCAACACGGGAAATTTCCCGCCGCTCCTAAACACGGAAATTTTTCTCATCCTTCGGATTTTTGACATTGCTTTATTATAAAAAAAATATAAAACATTTTTCCGTATTGATATATAGTTATATCAACACGGAAAATGTTTTATATTTGTTAAATATTGCATGATATCGATCCCAAGATATTGTTAGATATCCTAAGATATTGATATCCTAAGATACTCTATGATGTCCTAAGATATTGACATCCTATGTTATTGATATCCTATAGGTATTGCATGATATCCTAAGATACTGTATGTTGTTCTAAGATATTGATATCCTCCGTCATCTTGTTTTCTCCACTAGCTGGGATGTTTTATGCAAATGAGATGCGGCACCCTGTTTTATGCAAAGATGATGCGGCACCCTGTTTTATGCAAATGATGATGCGGCACGTTACCTATATTACTATAGGCCTACTAACAACGCCGAATTTGAAATTGCTGTGTCTGGAAAATTATTCGCTATTATAAACGCCCGACGACTTTAGTATGATGGCAGGGGGATGACATTAGTTTGTATCTTGAGCAATTCCCAGGCCATTTTAATGCTAAATTCGTTTTTTAACTATTGCCTATATTTTAAAACAAAGGCACAAGCTATGTATATAAACACTTCCACTGATAATATCTTTTTATTTTTAAAATGTTTACCCAGGTTCTGACATCGTTTAATTAGATCTAATCATGAAACAAATATCTCAAAAACTAAACATTTTCTTTAATAATTGGATATTTAATATTAAGTGCTTCGAACGCCCTCTTGTTCAGACACCAAGTAAAAATTCCAAGTTATCTTATCAAAATTTTAAAAAACGTTCTACCTTGTTCGAAGTCTTCAGTTTGTATGCATTTATGTTTGACATCTTTCGGTTTAACAATAGCTTCATAAACATCTGAACCATTGGCGGTTGTAGCGCTCATTTGTAAAGTTTCCATAGTGCGAGTTAGTTCCGCAGGTGCAGGGGGTGCGAGGTAATATTCATATACCTTCAAAGTAAAATAAAATACCAGGAGATTATGCATGCGGTAATGCGTGTGTGGGGGCTGGTACACACGTAAAAATCTCACAACTTGTCAACAAGATGTAACAATGCTGTTATTTTATCAAGTTGCTACAAGGTTGTAACTCACAACTTGTTGACAACTTGTTGAATTGCAGGACGATAACAAGTTGTTGGAACAACTTGTAACAAGTCTGTTGAGCTCAACAATCTGCAGCAAGTTTTCGACAAGCCGTTCGAACACATCCTGTTGACAAGTTGTTGGAACAGCATTGCTACAAGTCTGCTAAAGGTTTGTTACGACTTGTGCGTTTTTACTTGTGTAGACATTGCCCAAGAACAAATTGCTTAAATATTTGCATGGTTACAGAGTAAGTTGCCGGACAGAGTAAACTGGATGCGCATGCGTAAAAATCCCATTGTACAGTGTATGCATGATACATATAACTTAAATTGATTCACTAGCGGAGGTATATGCAGTCTCCGAATGCCCTTGAATGTGCAGTTGTATGATTTTATAATTTCACATCAGTTATATATGAGAAGAGTGATTTCAGTTGGACGTCCGCTACTGATTTCGTCTTGTATTAACGTTGGACCAAAAATTGATGGCGTTTTCTAGACTTCTATTTTAAAACCAGAGCTTTCTAGGATAAACAAAATTAGTTTAGTTTAATTTAGTAATTCTGCGTAGTGTCGCTGAACTAATAGGAGATGATCCTTAATTAATCTCTAAGGAGGGCAGCTCAGGCATCGGATTTAATTTAGCGGCCGTAAACGGCAATTGTCGCTGTCAGTACTTCTGTGAGATGGTCAGCGGCGGAAATTGTTGCCGCCACCTCTGTTTCCCGTCCTTAGGGTATATAGAAAAAAAAGGTTGAACTAGCAAATTCCCCAAGCGCAGGTTTTAACATCATACTGCTATTTACAACTACCTGTAGGCTGGAGCATTTCGCCCGTTTCATTAATTTTTAAAATTAAGAACACCGTATGACCAGAAAACGTCAACGTAATCGCGTTGACTTTTAACTTCCAGATTTGCCTGTCAATGCTTAAAATATTTACTTGAAAATCAGCTTAAATCATTAAATCACCGAAAATGTGAATCACCGAAAATGTGAACAAATATTGAGTGGAGTGTTACACCTCCTTACAGTCCCAGAATGTATACTGTAAACGGAATTTACCTTTGGTGCAAACACCATAGTCAGTGTAACAGTGGTAGAAAATACCACCACAGCAGACACCAGGACGTGAAGTAACTCGTAATATATTGTCCTTTTCAAAACCATAGACACTGTTGCACCTATGGCTGACAATATGACAACATTGTAGACTGACATCCCGATATATTTGGAGTCATTTAATGCAGGGATTGTCACATTTCGTGTCTCCCACGCGAGGAACACGCCAAACAGCACCAGAATTCCTTTGTATCCATAGAGAGCACCAAGCAGTTTAGTTCTGTGAGTGCACTCACAGATTTTTAACACTGGAATTGTAATCAGGTCCCTGGAATCTTCTTTCTATTATTTAAATACATTTGAAGTGATTTTCTGCAACACCCAAAATGGTGTAAATTATTGCAGCTCTGTAGATATCTATTTAGTGGAAATGTTTTCGGTTAGTGAACACCATATACACTGATCAATTGTGTTATTTACACCCAATTAGTGTATTGTAACACTTATAATAGCTTTTGGATGTAAAATATCACGATTGATCAATGTATTTGGTGGTTCGATTCACTAACAACTTTACAACTTTACAACTTTTTATTAATTAAACTTATTATTAATACAAAAATAACTTACCCTGCAAGTAGCTACAGAGCTAGTCGAGGCAAGGCAAGATAAATACAAAAATAATACAGTCATGTAAGGCAAAAGAAAGAAGTATTTATAATTACAGAAATTGTTTATTATTATTTACAAAGGAAACAAAAGCAATTTCAGACTTATGAAGGGAAAATGGAGGAAAAATCTAATTATTTATCTGTCGACTATTTTATTTTGAAATAAATTGGTAGCTTTAGAAGCTTTGAATGACAACAGAGTTTAATAATTTTTATATAGTTAGTCCTATTTTCTTAATTATCGTGGGGATTTGAATGTAGTCATCTTCTTTTTCCAAAATATCAAAAAGTAGTTGCCGAAGAGTCTTTTTAAATAGTTTTTTAGATAGAATCGTTATATGATATGGTATTCCATTCCAAAGTTTAACACCAAATCGAGAGAAGGATTGTTTTTGTATCTCTAACCCAGACGTTTCACATAGAACTTTTCCGACATACGTGATCGTGTATCATGGGAATGAATAATGAACGATTTATCAAACAAATTCAATATATTTAATGGTGCATTATTGTTATTTATATCGTACATTAAACCAGACACAGTCTCACAATAAAGAAAGGTAACTGGTAAGATGCGAAGATCAAGAAATAAGGGAATTGCATGATCGTATCTATCTGAAAAATACATCATACGCATTAGCCTTTTCTGGAGAACTAAAATTGTATCAAGATAAGTCTTACATGCTTGTCCCCAAACAGCGATGCCATAGGTTAAATACGGATGGATTAGGGACTGGTATACGTTGATTAGTATATTTCGTGGAACAAAATGACGAATTTTTGCAATAAGTTCAATACCTTTACTGATTTTCGTTGAAATGGCATCAATGTAATGCTTCCAGGTGAGATTTTTATCAAACAAAATACCGAGATATTTAATAATGGTTTTATATTCAAGGTTCACATACTTGTTTTGTTCACTGTCAAGTCTTTTTTGATAAGAATGAAAAATCACAAAGTTTGATTTTTTAATGTTTAGGGTTAGCTTACTGGCGGTCAGCCAATCAGTGGAATGTTAGAGTTTGGAATCCAAGTGAGAATATATACATTTTAAGACCTAACCAGGAACGACTGCGAAAAATGCAGCACAAGGTCCTCTGGTAGGAATCGAACCTACGGCCCTGCGATTCTGGTAGAGAGCTTTTGTAATTCAGTATAGAGACATTTACAGTATATCAGTATAGCTATACAACAGAGCTGCAATGATTACACCAATTTGGTGCTGTTTTAACACTGAAATTTAGAATGAAAGATATTGTTATAATGGAATGCCGTATCGTCGTAAAAACTTATTTCAAAGTAATTGTACAAAATGAAAGTAAATCACATTAATATTACCAATTCATCAAAAATGATCTCCTTTACTTCCAGTGGATCATAGTAGATCCAAATTGTGATGAATGTGATGTCGATTGTGACCAAGGCCAAAACAAATAAAATTAGATGAAAATCTCTCATCAACTAAATTAGGATAAGAAAAGCATTCCTCAGTGTATTAAGAAGCTATTGAAGATATATAAAATATATAAAGGATACGTCCTGATATCTGCATGCTACTGTACTTTCCTAGTACCTTTTTCTTAATAGCACGTTGAGCAGTAAATATTTTGTGCACTCGCCATGTTTTGCTGAACAAAGCACCGAAAGCCAAGGAGAATGCAATCGTCAACACATACAGACGTACCTGATGTTAGAATGTTAGAATGAAATAGATAAGAAATTATAGACAGTATATTTGGAGAGGTATTAATGAAAAATCGCGTTCACTCACAATTATGCTTGTCAAAATAATACATGTAATATAGCTCGTATTTTTACACGCACTCCCGTAACAGTACGGCTAAGAAACCGAGAGACAAGTTTTATTACAGTAATAGTTCGTAAATTTGTGCGATAAAAGTCATTCAAGAAGAGTGTTTTAACACTTCAAAAGTCTTTTGAAAAGAGTTCTTGTCAGAGTAACCGTTTTCACCAAGAAATAAGGGGGGAAGCTTCTGGGTTTTTAGGTTTTATCTCGGCTTTCTGTAGTTGTATTGCAAGGTTTGATCCGCCTCTGACATTTCAGTTGTGGTATGAGTGGTGGTAATGCCCAAACAGTCTTACTTTCAATGCTAAGGCTAAACGCTCAATGCTAAGTGGACCAGCCTGTTTGCCACATAAACATGCCCTCACTCTGTCGCAGGATATTTTGTAATGATCCAAATACTAATACCAATACCATGCATGACTTACATTACATAAAATTCCAAACGCGTGGTTATCAACAAATCTTGAATCGATTCCCAACAACAAGACAAAAAGATAACAAAAGAAACAACCAAGCAGAACGACGTTGTTGATCATTGGAGACGACATTCGAACCACCCTGGCAGAGAAAATAAGTGCAAAACAATAGTATACTGCCTATATGTGATTTTCATCAAGGGATTCAGATCAACATGTCTAACAGGTCAAATAAGCAAGATACTGCACATTATTTAATTGAATTAATTTGATTTTTCACAATCATTTACATAAAAATAAGATTGGTTACTGACACTAGTACAGAACATGCAAAAACTTGTATTTTGAACAGTATAAAGTGATTGAAAATTAGTCATTAAATTGTCTTAAAGTGCCTATGACACGAAATTTCACCCCAAAGGTTCATGGTGACTTTGTAAAGATCACTTAAAATGACTTAATAATTTCTTTTATAGAATTTTGGTAACTTGTTCCCTTTTCAAGATATTCAACTTTGTTTCATATGCAATATCACCGGTGTGACATCACATCACATAATGAGTTTTCAGAAAGTATAGTTTTCTTGACGAATACGTATCTAAAAAACTTAAAAATTGCCCTTGTATATGTATTAATTTCATAACTCGTAATTAACCCTCTGTATTTGTTTGTAAACATATTTTATCAAGGTAAAATATTGCGTTTTCAAAATGTCATTATGCCATGTGATGTCACACCGGTGATATTTGCATATGAAACGAAGTTGAATATCTTGCAAAGAAAGCAAGTTACCAAAATTCTATAAAAGAAATTATTAAGTCATTTTAAATGATCTTTACAATGCAATCATAAACATTTGGGGTGAAATTTCGTGTCATAGGCACTTTAAAATATGTAGATTCGTAATATAACCCGATAACAATATGGAGTCGCACATGCTCCCCCCAAATTAAATATTGTCTCAATTTAGAATTATTCATAAATTAACCTGTGAAGTTATATTGTGAAATTTCTGAAGCTTTTTTCGTTTCGTCATATTGCCCTCCCAATATATACTCTCCATTGTTTTGCAGCTAAAGGGAGATCTTTGGCATGAGGATAAATCGATTACTTACTTGTGATTTCGTTTACTGATGTTGAAAAACAGGAAAAAGATGGAGTAAAGAAGACCAAAAACAGCCAAAGCTCCAATAACAACCAACTGTAGTATGGAGTATGTTAAAATTTTTCTTTCTTTTGTTGTTTCATCTACTGGTATTTTACCATCTGCAAGAATTTTTACAATTTATTTCTTTATTTTACTTCGCATCGTGACAATAGTTAATCAATAAGTCACGAATAGCTTACATTGCACATAAAATTCACATGGTAAGTGACGAAAGCCTTTCAAGACGGACAAATGAGAATATTTTTGCGGATGCTTCACTTCGCCCGAAAAAAGTGTTGTATTTTAGTTTCACAGTATTCAAGAATGCCACCACATTCCTGTACCTTTTTGCTGAAATGTCAAAATATTATTAGCCATCTCAGCATAATTTCTGGCGGACCAATCAGATGTCGTCATTCCCACGATGTCGATGTTACGACATTTATTATTAGCATGACAAAATTACTGGATGCTGATTATATATTGGTTGAGAGGAGTACAATTATTTCATTAATTGCACTGCAGTGCAATTAATGATTTTCCCAAAACAAACAAAATGGCGGAAAGGCATTTTAATCACAGATGTGAAATGAAATTGCCGTTAAAGAACTAGATGAAAATACGAATAAAAGCACCAAATTTTGCTTGAACAAAAGAACTAAATGAAAGTGCAAACAAAAGCACCAAATTTTTGTTGAATGTCTGGCAGGACTGGGCTTTGGCGAGAGAAGTGTTGACATTGAGAAGTACGTATCCAATTTTGTCATGCTAATAATAAACAAGTAATCATGCGATGTTGCTCGTACAATTCTGGCAAAATTTCCAAACATCACTCGTACTATCAATCCCTAATTGTACTCGCCATCGCATGATTACCTATACTAATTAAGAATATAGTATCCGAGGTTCGGGTAACACGAATAGTCAAAAATTTTTCCATCCGATAATTTGAAAAAAGTATAAAACAAATGAAAATTCAAAAAGATGCATCTTAGGCTAGTTTACACTGTACCAGATAGCTTTCTGTAGCGACGTGAAAAACACCTATCGATATCCGTACCTTTTAGGAACGCTATTTTCAGAGGAATTATTGAAACCGGGAGAGATGTTGTTTCGCTGAGCTTGGGAGCTGTATACATTCCTTGTCGGATAGGTGCTTTTTCGCTCCCCAACAGAAAGCTATCCGTTATGGTCTAAACGTATAGCCTTAATAATCCAAAATATAAAATAGGAATCGAAAAATCTTCAAAATCCAAGATATGGACTAAAACAAGACGTAAATGTAAAATAGTTATGTTTCGATCCTATTACCAGGTGATCTCGTGTTCGTATTTTAGCCAATCAGCGCTCAGAAAGGGTTGTCCGAATAGAAATCCATTTTGATGCATTCAGTCAATTATATCTTTCATTCTTCTTTATGAAACTAGTTGAAATTTTGTAATTATGTTTGGTTATGAGAACTATAGCTCTGACAAAAATATGGAATCGAAATAAAGTATATTACAGGAGATATTCAGTTGTTTTAATCGTAAAATGGATTTCTATTAGACAACTAGTGCCAGTACTTTTCCGCGTATCAAGATCACCTGGTACATGGGCTCGACATTTTTCAGACAAACATCGATCATTGGATGATTCATTAAAAATCAAAGATGGAATTTTCTCTTGATTTTTTCAAGGTGTGTCTTTCGAGTTTTGTTTCAATTTGTGATCTAAATGTGGGATCTGCAAACGGCCGAGATTCCAAACCGCTTACCTTTCCATAATTTACTTAACTGACTTTCAAATAATGTCATTTCGCTTTTTACACTGTCAATGGAACTGGATGTTCCCACTTGAATCAACTCCGCTATAACATACAACGAAGTAAAGATTAGGAGGAAAATATCAATGGAACGAAAATTTTAAGAAAACATATCTTACTATTACTACAATATTTCGTCAATATACATTCATATACAGGCATGGAAAAATTAATTTGAATTTGTGTCAGCACTTGAAAATGATTTAGATTCTAATTTCAACCTACTATAGTATATTGTAGAACCGTAAACGACAACAAGGGTGGCCCTTAGAGGTTGCGGGACGGGGGGAGAGGATGAGAAGATGTGTGGTGACTAGGCATGGAGATGCAACGTGATAAACGTGGAAGTTCCATAATTTTTGGTTGGAGTAATTCTTCAATTAGTAAATCGAAATAAAACAACCAGACATACTGAGGCTATTTCATGCCAGACCCACATAAATGATCTAATTGTAGAATCACAATAATCAAGGACATATTGCTAAAATAATTACCGTATCATTTCAACTCTATAGTTGGAAAGAACTCTCCAGGTTATCATTCTGCAATTTTGCAAAATATCAGGAGGACAGCTCACTAAACCGACAACGACAGCACCCTTTTGAGCCCCCCTCCCCCTTCAACACCACTGGTCTTCCTGTAGTTTCAAAACACTTTAATGTTGATATCTTTGTTTTTGGTTCATGAATTATCAAGGAGTTTGAGAAGAACTTCTTCAACACCAAATCCAAAACAAACGTTGTTATTAAAGGAAATTAGTCATACTAGGCTTACCTATTCCATTTACATTCCTCATTTGGTTAATTCGCACAGTCCCCAATCTTTGTCTGCGATTAAAATTATGTAGGCCCTAAAAATAAATGACATCATTTGATATATAACTTAATTCTATGACAAAATGCAGCATTTTGATTGGTTCCTTAGCGATCGGTAACCTGCAGCACCGACCACTCACTGACCTCATAGTATGGATCATGTTCAAAAACGCTTGCTATAGAACTTAAAATGCGGCAGAATAATAGCACTTAATTCTTGCCGCCATTGAACGGCTTTTTCGGCAAAAATACGTGAAACTTTGCTCTGTTTTCTACTCTTAGTTTAAATATATCTGAAAATGTATTGTTAAACGGATTTATATAGATGGAACTTTCGATTGGAATTTTTATACTTATTAGACATAATATTTATTAGACATAATCAGGGGCAATTGCGAAAAATGTGGGGACGCGAATGCTTTTACTTGTCGCTTGTGAATTTTCAAGAGGCCAAATTCGCGAAAGAAAAAAAACAATACAAACTTTTGATGTTAGTTGAGAAAAACCGTTCAATACGCTATTAATAAAAGACAGCGATACGCAGACTAATTTGTTAATTTTTTCAATATCTGGCCAGCTGGATTCATAGGCGTCGAAAGATCGATAAGTGGGGGGGGGACCATATTCATATATTCGTGTTCACAGACCTTAAAAACAATCGATTTCAAAAGAAATTAATAATGCAGAACACGAATATATGAATATGATCCCCCCCCCCCCACTTATCGATCTTTCGACACTTATGGCTGGATTTCATCTACATCTATATGTGTTAAGTCGGTAAAATCCTTTCGAATATCACACCAATTATTTATAACTATATACCTATTCTAAAAATCCATATTTACAACAATATTTACTGTTATTAAAAATAATTGCTTAAATTGTTTTTAAACTGCAGGAGGAGATTCTCTGAGCTCTCAATTTCTTCGGGAAGTAAATTCCATTCCCTAATCGTGCGAGGGGAAAAGGAAAATGTAAAGACATCTTTGGTAGTTTGTGGGATTCTATATTTATAGCTATGGCTAGCACGAGTTCTGGTCTCGTTATTTACCAATCAATCAATCAATCTTTTAATCGTCTTAAGATAAAAGGTACATATCTTAAGTTACAATAATTATTATTCTATAAGTTATATTTAAAAATAAGTCTATTTACAAAGGTGTTTTTAAATCTATTTGTGTTAATCTTAGGATAAATTCTATTCTGCTTTCTAAGGCGGTAATTAGTTGTCTTCTTCTCAGGTAAAATCTTATTTAAAGGATGTTCAATATCTGAAATACATTTGTTATAAAGTTTTTTATCATTAACTTCTAAAAGTTCGCGTATGTTAATATAATAGGAGACATAGTGTCTTTTAAAACATCTATCTAAAAAAGCTTGCACTACAGACAGGTCTGAATCTGACGCACCATAAACTGAAAGACCATAGTTAAGAACAGATAAAACCAAACTATTGAAAAGCTTGTTTACTTCTTCCTGACTGGCACCTTCTTTACGCAAAGATCTTATTACATACAAGCATCTATTTGCTTTGAATAATTTAGCTTTTATATGTAAACTATATTTACAATTTTCTTGAAATGTCATTCCTAGTACGAAAAGATCTGTGCATTGCGGAATATTATAAACAGGTGAAACGATTTGATTAAATCCTTTCTTTCGGAAAATCAGTTCTTTGCATTTTTCTGGATTGCACTTCATATCGTTATCCTGAGACCAGATTAAAAATTGTCCCACTAAATCAGTTCGACATTCTTTATTTTTCCACATTGGAACAATCGTGTTGGAGTCGTCCGCATACTTGAAGAGAGCGGGTCTGCCATCCAAATCTAATTCCAAATCGTTCATAAAAACATTGTACAGATACGTCCGCTCACGCTTCCCTGTATTGTACCCTTGTTCACAGAAGCCGTGAAATCCAAGGTTTTCGTCGGATTGCTCAGTTGTAGTAATAGAGAGGTTAAGATACCCCGGTTTCGGTGTACGGGTACGAGTAGTGTCATCTTGTCTGTAATTCGATCATACTTTTTCTGTTTTCTTGCAATAGACAATGATATAATGCGAAAAATGTGCACCTTAATCGGGGTTTCAGAGACATACGTTAGTAAGATCAATGCTGATAAACACTTTTCCAAGCAGGAATAAAAATCGATATTTGCGGATATTTAACACGTATTCCACCAATGTCATTAACAGTCGTTGAGATTACGAGCTAAAAATTATTTTTAAGTGTTTATTATGGATAGATAGGAACTATTTATTACGCGGGCGTAGGCCTTAAAATCAGGCGGCAGCGTGACTTTACGGGCATAAATTTGCACAACAATTTAAAACACATTATTTTTTCAAAACGTTTACAAAGTTATGCTCAGTGCTACGTTACGTTACCTTACCTTACTTTACGTTACATTATGTTACGTTACGTAATGAATTTGTCATTATGTACATGTTACAAACTAAGTAAAGACAGCTAAAAACAGGTTAGACCGTTAAACAATTCGTGACAGGGGAAAGGAACAGGACTCCCGTCCCAATTGAACCTATACCCCTATATATATTTCGAGATATATATACGCTACGGAGAAGTACTAGGTCAAAGGCGACTCCTGGCTCGAATATAATGTTGTATAAACATTTAAACAGTAATAAAATTGAAACGCTATGAAACGGCAAGAGTAAAACAGCAAACGTGCGAGCAATTTGAGGTATTTATGCAAAAGCTCTACCTTCGAAGCGTGTTTCAAAAACTAGTTTTTCAACGAAAACAAATCATGACAACTTGCTTGAACAGTTTTGAAGTAATTGGACATTTTGGACGTAAAATGGCTTGTACAAAGCTTCATGCAGTCATTGTTGTGCCTTAAACTGCATTTCTTGCTTGCTAGCTTACAAATAATCGCGAATCCTGCAGACCGACTCCACGACCTTATTCCACATAACGAAAATCAAATTACTATCTCAGGAGCGCAAGACCTTTTACTATTCCAATATGTAAAAGTAAAACCAATCGATTTAAAAAATCCTTTTTAATACTCCTAGCTCTCTTCACTACAGCAAGAATATTTTCAATAACTCTAATTATGAATACATTTTAAATAGTAAATGTTTAAACATTTTAAACTACCTTTGTAAATAATCTAATACCTTAATAATTCAGCTTACTATATAGCTGCATGCAAAAAGGTTTTCGTTAAACAATCTATATATCTACCTCTATCTATCTATAATCCTACCGAGATTTTACTCGTTTCTCGCATTTTTCTCTCGCCCTTTCAGGGTATGAAAACATTCTTTCGAAACTCGTAAAATATTTGATCGGATTATGTGTCAAGCTATTCAATAAGATAGAATATATATTACCCCAGCTTACCGTCAAGCCTTCAAACTCAGTTTCCTGTAAAAACGATGCGTAATAATTTCTTGCCACTAGGTCTCCAAACTTCACATTCTCTGGCCGATACTTTGGCATTGATAGACTTTGCTGAAAAAGTAATGCTGCTGCCCATACGCTGTCGAAGGCGTAGCTCGTGTAAAGTCTTGGATTATAGTTTCTACGACGCATGTGATCCATGAAAGTAACTGGAGTCTTAAATTAAAATATATTAATTTTAAATCAAACAGAATGTATCAGATTTATTCAATACAAACTCTTACCCCCGAACCTTCCATGAGGTGTTAGCCCGGGGCGATGATACTAATTCCGCTCGGATATCACCCGGGGAAAGGAATTAAGCATTATCGAAATGTAAAGTCCATCTATAATCGCGGGCGCGTAAGTATGGTTCATGGGTGAACCTCACTGAAAAATGTGGTTGTTTGGTAGGAGTGGGATAATTAAGCACAATTTTAATTAATAAAACATATATTTGAAAAATCGTTTCATACAATGAGCTTTGAAGCAAATTTTGTTTGAAGAAATGAGAAGAATTGATTTACTATATGGAAAATCGTGGAAGATAAGGCCAGTTTGCTTTGAATGTTTAATGTTGTTATTTGATTTCTTGCGTAAAACACGTGTTTGTGTTTACGCGCTTGTTTTAAACAAATGCGATTAATGTTTATGAGTCATTCTTTAGGAAATTTATTCTTTCGTTTCGTTTCGTTTCGTTTCGTTTCGTTTCGTTTTGTTTTGTTTTGTTTTGTTTTGTTTTGTTTTGTTTTGTTTTGTTTTGTTTTGTTTTGTTTTGTTTTGTTTTGCTTTGTTGCAATCAACCAATCACAACAACACTTGTTCATATGGCAACCCAGCCTGATTGAAAATATGAAAAGCAGCTTACCAAACCAGAAAGTGTTTCTTTGGTATCTTGACGTATGGGCACCTTGTCAGACACGATAAATCCATCCGCTGCTTCAACGATTTGGCTAACATTACAATCAGTTGCTCGGTAATACCGATGAAAGGTGCCAGGTGAGAATATCCAGGCGCCAGAAACAGCAGCTGCCAATAACCACACGTACTTAGGACCTGTCAAGCCCATTTTGTAAGCCTACATATAACATAGAAGTACGGTAAAACTTAACAAGTAACCAGGGGCGAATCGTAGGAGGAGATTATAAGCCCCACCCAGAACTAGGTGTAGGTCAATCCCTCCAAAGTTAAAGTGTTTACGCAGCAAACTTTCATACCACTTTCCATGATTGCATTACAAAGAAAATGCTAAATGATTATTAAGATACTTTGCCAAACCATCTTATAGCTTGTTTTTTTCTTAAGATATTGAACAATGTTTGATACGCAAGTTATCCACACCATCATCAAAGTGAAGAATTATTTCTGGGAGAACTTTTAATTCATCATAGTGAAGCATTCTTGAGTATTTTTGATTAATTTGGGGACAAATTAAAACACAGTTGTTTCACAAATTATTTAGAATAAATCAGTTCAAAATGATTAGTATAGAGAATGTAGCTCGTTAACAAAAGAAAATGTATGAGAAATAGAGTATATAGTGGAATAGGTCGAAGGAAAGAAACTAAGAAATTTGCAAGATTGTAATTTTAATTTCTGACAGAACTTGAGGTCTTAGAGGAACGTTAAACCCGAGACAAACTCTTATGATCTCCAAATTTCGACCCTCTCTAAAAGGCAATATATGATAAGCTTCAGCTGTATCACATTTAATATTCTTATCCCCCCCCCCCCCTACAGATCTCTTCCTACTCCTTAGTACATATAATCAAATGGAGTCCTATATATCTTGCATATTATTTTATTCCATTTGAAACGGTGTGAAACCAAATGGGTTTTCATGTAAATTGAAACAATCTGAGGCCGTTGATATGTAGTTTAATTTTTTCAGGTGATTGTATTTAAACCAGAGCGACCGAAGATATGTATAGGTTATTTTGAGTCAACGAGGGTATGTGTGATTTATTCACCGAGGCGCGCAGCGCCGAGGTGAATAAACACATATCCCCGAGGTGCCTCAAAATAACGTAGCTACTTATTTTTCACATTGCGAGGTGGCGTTAATGAGTCACAATAGAAATAATTCTTAATGCCATATTGCCTTCGTTATGTTGTTTTTTTCTTCTCATTTTTGTGCTGCAAAGGCATTACAGGTGAATATTAGAGGCGATTATTAAACGGAAATTGATTAGAGGGGAATATTGAATATATTCCCCCATAAGAACAAAGGAAACCGAGCAAGGTGAAAAATAATGTCATTAAAAGGACAATGGCAACGAATAATTTTTATTGGTTATTTCAATCCTACTTGACGACCAAACTATGAAAATATTATCATTTCCTTCTCAAACATTTTAGTCTACAAGTAAAATGCATGCAAACTTTTTGAAACTTTGTGTTTCGCCGCCATCTTGGAAAAATTTTTTGAAAAATTATCTTGAATCGAAGGTCAATGAACTTTGTGACGTCATTGGATGAGTAGCACCTAAACTACAAGAGATCGAGAATTCTATTGCGTGCGTGTTATGTTAGCCAACACTCTTCGCAATCAAACAAGAGAAGTCTACACTATCAGATAAAAATATATGGCGCAATTTACGGCAATACAGGTGATTGATCATAAAACATTGCATTAGTATTTGCCTTGTTACACTCGAATTTCTGCGTTTATTTAACACGGAGTAGGATATATACTATGAAAAATAGTGTTACAAACAGGTTACATACTTGGTAAAACTTTTCTGCCTTTTGTTTTGGCTCAATAAAATGCACTACGCGTGGTAATACACGGTATTGTTGATAGTCATGAGATTGTGTTTACCCAGCCAATGACGTCAGATAATGTTTTGTGGCATAAATTAGCATATGCGCTTATTTTCAAAATGGCGGACAACTGTACAGTGAACTGTTGAACTTTTTATCAAATTTTCTCAACAACTAAACGGGCCAAAATATGAAACTGAATATTCCGTAAGTATTCCTAATAGATATAAGTAATAAAAATTTTGGTTGCCAATGTCCTTTAATAGGAAGTAAATGAAATCAAAACAAACCTCACAGAAAACGGCGACTGCACCCTGTGTTGAAAATTCACCTATTATAATGCGTGCATCCAATTTCTAGAAAGAAAATTTGTCGATGAATTAACATCTAACAACGACGTCGTTTAACGAAAAAATTTTCACTAAAAAACTCCATCACTTCTAACCATATTCTCGAAGTGCCGTTACAGACAATACGGTGTTACCAGGGCGTAGTAAAACACATGCGTGGAAACGGTTATAGCGCCCGTGATCAATGTGCATGTGATGTACGTAGGTCCCCCCAGCATATTTTGATTTTTATTCCGTGCCTGATTTGAACAGGCGTGTTTTGGGGGATTTTTTTTAAATAACGATGTAAAAAATTAATACAATTCGAGCTGAATTCACAATGGATTTGGGGGTTCTGTGCTATTAAAATACAAAAGATTTTTTTGATGATTCTTAGCCATGGCAATGGGAAATTATATAGTTTAGATATAAGTCGGGGATTTGACTGCGGCGTTCGGCATTTCGACTAATATAAATACGACCTGTGATCAGGGGCGTAGCCAAGGGGGGGGGGGCTAAAAAAAGGAAAAAGGCTAAATCCGTAGAGAAATGGG